GATCGCCAGTTATCCCAGGTCTGAGATTGGGAGGCGTCACGAGGAGGCTGCTGAGATCCCCCCGGACTCCTGGACGAACGGTGGTTTCGACCAGATTTCGGTCCACGCGAGGGGGGCGGCCACGGCTGTCCTGACTCCGCGGGCGGCTGGTGCTCTGTGGCGGAGTCGCAGCGTTGGCTGCCAGGTGTGCGTAGGTGCACGCGTCGCCCTTGGCGCAGTGGCCTGCCTGGAAGTAGCTGCAGGCGGGCACGTGGGGGTAGCGGCAGCGGTCGCCGTACGAACAGGCACCAGTTTTGGCGAATCTGTGGCAAAAACGCGCGGCGCCGCCGTGAGGCTGCTGCGAGCCGGGTGGCTGGGCGGAACGCTGGGGCTGGCGAGTGTTCTCGCTGTGAGGGGCGCCAGTGTCAGGGCGGCTGCGGGAGTCCACCATGTGCAGGAGCTTGCACGCGTTTCCCTTGGGGCATTTGCCCTTGCTGAAGGGCACGCAGAAGCCAGTCTTCGGAGAGACGATGGCTGCGGTGTCCCTGTTGCCTGTCCTCAGGTGGTACTGGTTGCGCCGTGTTCGGTGTAGCTCAAGAACAGCTGTGACTCGGTGGTGGAGCCAAGTGTAACAGCGCTCTGGTGCCCCTTTAGGAGCTTTGTTGTACGTGTTCATGTCGTCCTTCATCCAAGGATGCAACTCAATCTGTGTACGAAACAGTGACTCCATAATGTTCGGCGGAGGAAGCTCCCGGAGCTCCAGGAGCAGTTGGTCCCACTCCGTCACGAACCTTTTGAGGTCATCTCCATGCATACGTAGAGTGTTGATCCTTTCGAAATCATGAATCGTATCGTCGGCGTCGGTCACATCGTAATAACGCAAAATCTTCCAGTAGATCTGACGTCCCTTTATCATGCGACCGTGCTTGTGCTCTGTGTTCTCCAGCAATTTGATATCCAGTTTCAATTCGCTGCTGAGAATCGCTTGTAAAGCTTCCGCGAACTTCAGATCCAAACTTGCGAAATCACCGCTGTCCTGTAGATCATCCAGTGTCACACCGGGCTGTTCTGCAACACAGAAGAACTTGTATGCAGCATCTGGACGCCCAGAGGCACTGCAGAAGGCCTTGCGGACTGCGTGCTGCCACTCAAGAACATGTCCGATTCTGGGAAGACCTGGAACACGCACACGCTCGCTCTCCTTCACCGGTGTGATGGTAGCAACAGGGCTCCCTCCGATGGTGTATTGAGACTGCATGACAGTAGCACCAAGGACGTTGGGCACTGGTGAGTGCGTGCGAAAGCTTGCAGCGTCGAAGTTTGCCTCCTGTGCAGGTGCTGCGGAAGCGGCCGGGGCCGCGGTCCTGCTGGCAGCTGACGGTGACACACGTCGGGCCTGTGGCTGGTAGCCAGCGGCTGGGGTTTCCCCCTGCACACCCCCCGCGTTCGAGGCAGGGGCGCCGGGAGAAGTGCGTCTGGAGGTCGGGGCTTGTGGTGGTACAGGTGTGTGCTGTGTAGCGTCAGCTACGTGGGCCTTGAATTGGTCTTCGAGAATGATGTTGTCACGTTGCAACTGTTCGATGCAGCCTGAGAAACCATCAACATTCCTCTGGACCTCGCGGGTCTTGTCTGTAAGCACGGAATACTGTCGTTGAGTAGACTGGGAAAGGTCTGTAAGAAGAGAACGTAGCTGATCCATGTCGGCCTTTACGCGCGACAGCTCCTGCTGCGTATCCGCCAGGCGGGTCTGCACTTCAGATACCCGTGCCTTTCCAGCATCCCTCTCAGAGCGAAGCTCGTGTAACTGCCTTTGCACGTGGTCCGCCTCCGCACGCACGGTCCGTTGTACGGCTGCCAGTACGGCGGGGTCGTCAACCGAAGAAGGGGGCACCAGCTGGCCAGTCTGGGCCCTTACAACGCGCAGCTCAGTCACGGCCTCTTCGAGAGTCAGGACTCTGGCGGTGAGCTTTGGGATCGAATCAACTTGGGAATCAGAGAAACGCTGGTTGACAGCATTTTCGGCTTGACAGAGTTTGCCGTAGAGATCTTGTTGGATTTGTTGGGTCTCAGCACGAAGATCAGATGTAGCGGACATCGTGGCGTCACGAAGCTCAATAATCTGGCCCTGGAGAGCTGAGGGAGCCGCGCCGGCGCTGGCGGCAGCAACTGCTTGGATTTCATCGTGGAGAAACTTGGCGCGAGTATCATTGTGGTCACGCATATGGATAAAACGTGCTTCCAAATGAGAGAACTCGGAGTGCACAGCGGCAAGCTCGGAGTGGTCTTGGCCACGCTGAGCGGCAACAGCATCGACCTTCGAAACGAGTTGACACATGACGTGACGATCCTCGTACAACCTAGCGTCGACTTCCTGCAAACCTTTAGCGAGATCCGATCGCAAGATCGCAGTCTCAGTGGCGGTTGCCTGGTGCACGAGAGCAGTCTGATGCTCCACATACGTCTGTACCTGGTCTCTTAGCTCAGCCATATCTGTTAGGGGGACGGCGGCAGGCGCAGCCACAGGTGAGCTGACAGCGCGTCTTCGTGCCCTCTGGGAGGGACTGCGGCTGTGCAAATCCTGGGCTGCAATCTGGAACTGTTCGGGGCCACGTCTGTCACGAGGCGAAGCTGCGCGAGAACGAGAAACAGTGACTTGACGACCGGCGAAGGCTGCGCCGTCGCGGGTCTGAGCACGAAACTCGAGGGCGCGGATGTGCTCTCGGACTGGCGTCACGGCACGGGTGACTGGGTTCCGTCCTGGCGCGCCGGCGTTCGCGTGACTCCCGCCCCAGCGGCGAGATCCTCCAGAGCCTCTCTGCACGGGACTTCCCTGTGGAGGCGAAAGAGCCTCCGAGTGGGCCCCCCCAGCAGGGGCCCGAAAAGTCGGGGTCAGATTTTGAGGAGGTTGAGGAGTCTGGAGCTGAGGAACTCCAGGAGCCACAGGGTGTCTCGCTCTGACAGCATTTCTGGGCGGATCATTCCGTGGCACGAGGACCTCAGCGCTCTGAAAGAGATGCGGTCTCCCGCTGCGGTCTCCCGCTGCATCCGAGCTGCGGTCTCCCGCTGCATCCGACACGACGGGCGACGCGACGGGAGGAACGACTGACGACGAGGAAGGGGCCTGGAACTGAGGAGTACCAGGAGCGTGTCCTTGTCCAGCGTCAAGACCCTCAGTACCTGGAGAAATGGCCACACGATCAGCTCGCGGGATGCCATGCACGTCCATCAAAACTTCAATCTCCTGCTCCAAGTTGCGCGCCACGGGGTCCGCCACGCCGTCGCGAAGAGGCGCGGGGCCGAGAGGCGCACCGCCCTCCATCGCGACTGAGTGGGGGGCTCAGGAAGCGCGGAAGTTGGAGCGATTGCGTTTTGAACAGAGAAGGCTGATAACCTGTGTGAGGGGGAGGGGGACCGAAGGACCGAACCCACCCCCAAAGTGTCCGTAGGTAGACGTGATGAGGATGATGGAAGTTGTCCTCTTCACCCTCTGTGTACGAGTACCTGCATCCGAGCCGAAAGGGGCGATGGATATGAGCAAGATAGGAGGAAAGTAGGGGGATTCACACACATCCTCCCCTTCCTCCTCCTCCTCCTCCTCCTCCTCCTCCTCAGCCACGTCTTCATTTACCTCCGACGTCTTATCACGCATCCCGTCACCATCGAGGGCCGAGGTATCCAGGGTCGGCGGCACTTGCCGTAAGGCCTTAGCAATAAATACACACAAATAACAGGACTCCCCATATTTTCCCATATTTTCTGGGTTTTTGTCTTCCCCCCCACTTCCCATATTAATTGTGTCTGTGTGTTTCTTTCCCTCCTGATCCTGTCCCGCAAGTCCCCATCCCTCAAAACCCCACCCTTGCACCGCCGGTCTGCGTTCCTTCTGTTCGCGCCCCCTGGCATGGGCGTTCGGGCTCGGCCGCCTCTCTCTGTACGGGCATGCAGCCCACACAGAGTGCAGTCCACGTCAGGTCGCGCAAACATGCAGAGCACGGCTTCCCAAAGCAGTCAAACAATAGAAATGCCGTGGTTGGGGCGTGGCCGGCGGGAATGATGGCGTTGGCCTTCAACGGCCCACAGCACCTACCCAAAACACCTCCCAAAGAAGGGGGCCGATCACGGCCGGACCTTGGACGGAAAACCATCCTTCAAGAACATGAGACCCTCCGCCAAAGCCATGAGATCACCGAGGGCACCCAATGCACACGAACATACAACAAACACGAAGAGCACTAGGGTTAGGTCGGGGATGTCCTCCTACAGGCGGATTTGAGAAGAAAACAACACCAGTTAAGGATAGTCGTTGTAAAAAGAGCACGAACAAGCGTCCCCTGACTAATTTTTACCACTCTTGCATGTTGCTCCTGTAGAGGGACGTGCCCGACATAACACTGGTGTACCCGCCCCGAACCGACCTCGACCTCATACCGAGAGGCCTCCTAGATGGGGTCCGAGTGGATGGGGTCGGGGAATCTCGCCGCATCGCCAAGACATCGGCGATGCATCGGCCATGCTCTGGCGACGTCGGCAAAGCATCGGCGAAGCCAGCGCAGAGAAAATCGGGCCCCACATCGAGCCGCATCGCTGATGCATCGCCGATGCATCGGCGATGCGGCGCGATCCTCCGACCCCATCTACTATAAGAAGACAAAACGCCATAAACATAAACTTTGGGCGCTCCGCGCGGATTTCTTGGAACCGCGCTGGGCCCCTGGCGCGCGGAGCGCGCCAGGGGCCGCGCCGGAGGCGCCGCCAGCAGGGAGCTCCAAAAGTTTATGTGTATGGCGTCTTTTCTTCTTCGAATCTACTCCAACCCCATCTGGGAGGCCAAATGAGAAATCGGAGCCCACATCGGAATCCCAAATCGAATCGAATCGGAATCGGAAGCCATCGAAGTCGAAGCGAATCGTAGGAATCGAAACGAGCCCTGCATCTGGGAGGCCTGGAAGACCTCGGTCCGACCGCAGCTGACGCCATGGCCCCTCCCCCGACGCAGGCGGCCCGCGCCCCGGCAGGAGGTCCCCCACGAGCCAGCCGCCCGGCACGGCGGGCGCGGCCGCCGCGGCCGCGGCCTGCCCGGCGGCGTCGTCGTCGTCGTCGGCGTCGGCGTCGTCGGCGTCGTCGTCGTCGGCGGCGTCGTCGTCGGCGTCGTCGTCGTCATCGTCGTCGTCGAGGGGGGAGGGGGAGGCGAGGGTTCGTGGATCGAGGATCGAGGTTCGTTTGCAGGACGTTTCTGGTCGTCCTGTCGCGAATTCGTGGCCACGGCTGCTGGATCCGCCTCGAAAGTCTGGTCAGAACGCGGCCCAGGAGAGGTCCTGCCCAATGGATTCGCATTCGCATTCGCACTCTCATCAGGACATGGTCCTCGCCTCCTTGCTCCAGGAGAGGTCCTGACCATGGGGGGGGGGGGGCAAACCTTCCAGCGCTTTATACACAAATCGCAGCGGGAGGTTGTTTGGGCCATTTCGGCTTCTGGGGGCCCTCACCGGCCCCAAAGATCGACAAAAAACTAGCCAGGACGAAAAGCCAGTACTGGGAAGGGGTCCAGACCTCTGGGGCTCAACGGGGAAAAATCACGACGTTGGAGTTTTGGGGAGGGGGAGGCGTGTAGGAATGTAGGGAGAGAAGAACAGGCGAGGAGTGGCGTCCTCTCCCCCGTCCTCTTGACAGTTCAACGGAGGGGGAATCCTGGATGGTCCTCATCCTCATTATCACTTACCCTACAGCTCTGCTCGGGATTCTGTTTCCGCTCTGCTCGGGATTCTGTTTCCCTTATGCAGTGACCACCCACTTGGCTTGCCAGGCATTGCACGCCGCCTGGCTGTCCGTCCGTCCGTCCGTCTGTCTGTCTTCCCGGCTCTCTGAGCCGCGGCGCTTTGAGCTTCTTAGCTCGGGGACGCGTCGGCCACCGCCGCCCTCTCCCTTGTCGGTGGCCCTGACGAGGTTGGGGGAGAGGGTGCCGAAACGCGCCCAGAGTCCAGCAAGGCATGAGGGTGCAAACCCGACTTGTCTGGCTGATGCTCTGGGGGGGCCTGTGCTCGGGGGAGGCTGCAGCACCGCTCAACGATGTGCTGTTTAACCGAACCTGCAGGGTGGGCCCTTTCCCAAATCCGTGCTTCGGTGCGGATCGTAAGCGCGCCTCGTCTCCATCGTCGTCGTCTTCGGCGTCGTGGTCGTGGTGCGTGTTGCTCTGCTCGGGATTCTGTTTCCCTTATGTAGTGACCACCACCACCACTTACCCTACACCTCTCTCATCTATCCTCCTCGCCCCCCCTCCCGATCCAGCCAGGGACGATGCGAGGAGGGGGATGAGGAGGAGGAGGAGGAGGAGGAGGAGGAGGAGGAGGAGGGATGTCGACAGAGGAAGGGCGAGGGCGACGATAAGAACAGAAGGAAAGGGACGAGGGAACAGACGAAGGAGAAGACTACTTCATCATACCTTCTTTCTCCTCTCCTACTGCCTCCCTATTATCTCCCTCCTCCTCCTTCCTCACTCCTCCCTCCTTCCTCCCTTCTCCTCCTCCTCCTCCACCTCCTCCTCCGTCCCCCCTCCTGCTCCAGTCGGAGAGCAGCATGACGGTAACGCTGATGATGCTGCTGCTGATGATGATGACAATGACGACGACGATGATGATTATGATGATACTGATGATGATGCTGCTGATTATGATGATGCTGGTGGTGATGCAGCTGATGATGATGCTGATTCTAATTATGATGCTGACGCTGACGCGGACTGCTGCTGACGTTGAAGTTGAAGTTGAGGTTGAGGTTGATGATGAGGCTGTTAATGATGATTATGATGTCATGACCATGAAGATGATGCAGCTGATGGTGATGGTGATGGTGATGAAGAGGTTAATGATAATGATGATTCTGACGGTGATGATGATGAGGATGGTGGCGAGGAGGTGGAGGAGGAGGACGACGATGATGATGATGCTGCTACTGATGATGATGATGCTGATGATGCTGATGGTGGTGATACAGCTCATGCTGGTGCTGATTATGATGCTGACGCTGACGCTGACGCTGACGCTGACGTTGATGATGATGATGATAATGATGATGATGATGATGATGATGATGATGATGATGATGATGATGGTGGTGTGGCTGCTGCTGATGTTGTTGATGATGATGCTGTTAATGATGATTATGATTTAAGGACGATGAGGATGAGGTTGATGCCGCTGATGGTGATGGTGATGCTGAGGTTGATGATTATGATGATGATGCTGACGGTGATGATGATTATGATGATGATGATGATGACGATGATGATGATGATGATGATGATAATGATGATGATGATGATGATGATGATGATGATGAGGATGGTGGCGAGGAGAAGGAGGAGGAGGAGGAGGAGGAGAAGGAAGGAGGGCGACGGGAGGGAGGAGACAACAAGGATCATCATGAAACTGAGGATGATTGAGCAGGGAGGGGGGAGGGGGAAGAAGGAACAATATTTGTTTTGCGAAGGTAGACGGGAACTTCACATGACTTTGAACGATTTCGGATGGTTTCGAAGGCTTCCGTAGGCTTCGAATGATTGCAGGACAAGTCCCACGGGGGAGGAGGAAGGAAGAGGGGGCGACAGAGGGATGATGGAAGGCGCCGGTGAGTAGATAAAGAAAGGGAGGAGAATGGAGGGTGAAAAGAGGGACGGAGGAGGGACGAAGCATGATAATGGCTTCCGAAAACTTCCTCCCTCCTCTCACTTTCGCACCCTCCCTCTCCCCCCCGTCGTCTCCATCGCCTGCACTCCCTCGGTGATGCCACGGGCGGCAGTGAAGATCGGCCCACCTTTTCCGTCTCGTCGTCGTCCTTCTCCTAGCCGCTGTTTTGGCTCCAGATATGTGCGGGCGGCAGGCGCCCCTTGTATGTGCTACTCACACTACATTCAGCACATAAGCCGACCGACGGGCGCAGACCAGCGCACCTTGTGGCACCGCCGCCATGGGTGTCGCTCCCTCCGGCTGTCAGTGGTATGTTTTTGTGCATGTGGCGAGGTCCTGCGTACACGGAAGGTCCAAAGTGGAAATTCGTTGAATTCAATCCGCTGGCGGCAAGCAGTTATGCACGACTTGAGGATATCGCTTCGTCTTTGTGTAGTGTTGATGCGGTGGGGCTGATTGGGACACAGCTGCGTATGCGGGAGCTGAAAGTTCAGAGGAGGGTCATCTCGGGCCGCATCCTGATCGAGCGAGGCTGGGAGAGGAGGCCCTTCTCCAACAAGTCTTGCGGCGTGAGCCTTTTGTTGCATGCGAGTTTCAAGGACAAACACGTCACGGCTGTCAGGTCAGGCCCAGGGGCCTTGGCAAGCCGTTGCCTGGCGGTCAGGCTTCAGACGGCTCAGGAGGACCTGACGTTCCTGCTGGCGTAGTTCCCTCCTCGCAAGACGGAGATTGCGAAGCAGTCTGCGTATCGGCGAACGGTGGAACAACTTCTACAATGGCTACAAACAGAATTATCAGCGTGTCCTTCGAGATCGGTTCCTGTTCTGATGATGGATCTCAATGTGGCATGGGTAAGGCTGCTGGAAATACTCTTATCGAGAACGGTGGCACTGTTCCAGAGGCGGGCTCGACGGAGGAGCACTACGCGGGCTCGGCGGTGCGCAACTTTCTGAACTATCACTACATGGAAACCACATCCGCGCGCCCAAGCGTTGACACGTACTACGGGCATACGTCCTCCTCGCACGTGGATTTCGTCTGTCTTCCTACTAGCCTGGGAGATGCTGTTCTACGGGCTGGTGCTCTACTTCGATGCGGTAGGGAACTTCAACTCATCAAAACTGTGCGACGGCGTGATCATGTTCCTGTGCTGGTCGAAATTAGGCGCCCCTCGAAGCTTCCGTCATCTTGCGTCGGAGGCCACGCTCCACCTGCGGTGGGATCGGTGCGTTTAATCACGGATGCGATGATGGCTGCGCTTCGGGGGGGGCCTCTGCAGAGCATTCCTGGATTTGATTGAGACTAGGTTGGCAACTGAACAGAGTATCTGGGATAGTCTAGCGGCTCAGACTATTCCTGACTCTCTTTTTCTGTACCTCGAGAGGGTGCTGGTGGAGGAGGGGGATCAGCTCATTGTTTCGGACTCTGCGGCGGTTCCTGGGAAGCTTGAATTTGAAAGATTACGGGGTAGACTCTTGGGAAAGAGGAAGGACATGAGGATGTGGCTCCAGGTGCGCGCGGAGGAGGAGCCGTGCCCAAGGGCGGATCCGCGACCGACGGGGGAGCGACGGGGGGCGACTGCAAATCCCTCGTGCTCAGTGGGAGGGCACGCCTGTCGCTCGGCCGGAGCAGCGCCCGAGAACCGCGCCCAGCCCATGCCGCGCCGGCCTGGAAGTCCGGCCGAACCGCGAGGGGCCCAGCGACGAGAGGTGCGGAACGGGCCCATTTAGCAGTGGAGTCGGCGAGCTCGTTCCGCGGGCGGCGCTGGCGGCCGGGATCGCGGCCCGCGCGCAGAAACCTCGTCTCGCCCCCAGTGGGCAGCGCCGCCCAGCAGCTGGCCCATGCGGAGGGGGGGGGAAGCGTCGGGGCGGCCTTGCGCGACCTGGAGAGCCGCCGCATTCCCGGTTTCGATTGCGGCCCTTGGGGGGGGGGAGGGAGCTCTGGGCGCCAAGCCGCGAGATCCCCCGTGGGGGCGCCGCCGTTTCCGGCTCGAAACTAAACTCGGAAACGCGGGGAACAGATGCGACCCCGCAACGCCCCCCGGAAAGCGAAACCGTCATCGCGACGATCGGCCACAATTACGGACAGCGTAGCAGATCGGGGATCGGCTGGATCGAACGAACCACACGCAAACAAGTGCACCGAAATCGGCGGCTGCCCCGAGCCCCTCGGGGGCGCTATCGGGGAGAAGGGTATCGGGGAGGTCAGCGGCTATATGGCGAGGTCGGCCGAGTGCGACTCGACCTCGTCCTAGCAATCAGGGGCTGCGCCAAAAAGGAGCTGCGTGATCGAGTGCCACCGGGCCCGCGCGCCCCGGCAACAATGTCGCGGGCGCGGCTGGCCGCGGAGGCTGAAAACAAATGCCTGGCGGGCCCCCCGGTAGGGGTGCCAGGCGAAGGATAGGCAGTTGGGGGGGCGAGCCGGTGCATCCCCCGTGACCAGAACCCACCGCCTCAGCGAAGCCCCCAGCCTCTGCGTCCGCATCCTCGCCCTCGACTCCCCGCCCTCCACCTCTCGAGAACAATCGCGGCCAAAAATGGGGCGGGTGGGAGAGGGCCCGCGCCGTTGCCCGCAGTTCCTGCGACAACCTCGAGCAGGGCCCCCGGTGGAAAAAGGTGTTGGGGGCGCAAGAGTGGGGGAGGTGGCAGAATGAACCGAGCTCGGCCCATCACCGGTCTCGGGGGGCAGCGAGAAACGCAGGCCCCGAGAAGGTCGAGCGTCGCGCGGGCGGCCCGCTGGGGCCATGACCGGGCGGCTCTTAAACGTTGTGAAAGTGGCATCTGGCCCAGCCCCCGAGCAGTCTAGATAATTACTGCATCCCTGGGGGGTGGGGGGGGGGCGAAGAGGAAATGAATCCCTGGAGGGAGGGGGTGAGAAGGCGGAAAAACCATCAAGGGGACTTTCGGCCGAGCCGCGCTCGGCGTCCACGCGGGGCCTGTCGGCGCGGCCGCGTCGCGCCGCGGGCGCATGCCCTCCCGCTCGCCTAAAAAAAGACAGCCCGTCGCGTTGTTCATGTGACCCCGCATGCAAGTCTTCGCCTCCGCCTCCGGATGGCCCTGGCGGCGCTCTCATCGGGGGCGCTATCGCGACGCTGGGCGCTGCGGCCGGTAGAGGGCCTCCCGGTGGAGGGCCTCCCTGCGCAGGGCCAGCCAGCGCCGCTGCGGCCGCGGGCGCCGCCGCGGCAGCTGGAGCGACCGCCCTTGCCGGTGATGTCGCGGGGGGGGGGGCTGCATGGGCAAGAGCCTGGGCCTGCTGCGTTATAAGCTGCGACGTGAAGGGCTGGATATGCTGCAGGCGTGGGGCCATCGGTGCGATCGTGGATTCGATTTGACCCTGAACCGCATCTGGAGACGTAGGCGCAGCTGCCCGCGGCGTGCGATGTGGTGGCGGCGGGGCCAACGCCCGCCCGCGGGAACCCTGCTAGTGCTTGCGGGCGTCGCCGTAGGGGCCATCGCTTGCCACGTTGTCTTCCTCGGCTTCTATCATGTCGTTGAGCTCCTGTTCGCTCCAGCGGAGAGCTGCAAGATGATCGCTGTTCCCCAGGTGCTATTCTTGTTGCTCGAGCCTGTCCCTTGTGGCCTGTGCCGTCTTCTCCACGTTCGTAACCTGGCTCATCATTTTTGTGATTGAAGTCTCGACTAAGCCCAGCTGCGTCTGGAGCGGCTTGTGGGCTATGAGTATGCGGCGAAGAGTGGCGACGGCCTGGCGCGTCTGGGGTTCGACCTGGCCGAGCCGGGACTGTAAGTTGTACTGTTGGATGGAAAGATTCAGCTTGTCCTGCGTCTCTTTGAGAAATGTCTTGCGCTCTTGTTCAAAAGCGTCGACCCGGAACGTTTCGAAACTGACATCGGTCGCCGCCTCTGCCGCGGTGGCCATGTGGACGGACGTAGGGGATGTCCGCCTTCCCGTTCCCTTGGCCCGTGGGGCCGGTGCCGAAGGAGGAGCACGACGTCTGGAAGCCGACCGCTCGCTGTGCGGAAAGCCAGCATCTCTGCGTGCGCCCGGGTTTTGCGGCCTCTTCTAGCAGAGCTCCCACCAACATTTACACTTGCGACAATAGGCGTGGCCCGAGGCGTTGGAAGCGCCGCACTTGCACTGCCACTTCGCCATGCGCTGCACTGTGCACAGAGGGAATGTCAGAATGTACAAAGACGATGTAAGATGAGGATTCTCGGGATTCCTTCCTTGAGCCAAAATCCCTTGAGCCAGCCCTTCCTCCAACTCCTCCTTTTCTTTTTCGTTTCCTCCTCCTCCTCCTCCTCCTGCTCCTCCTCCTCCTCCTCCGTCCTTCTCCTCCTCCTCCTCCTCCTCTTCCTCCGTCCTCTTCCTCCTCCGTCCTCCTTCGACCTCCCTCCCTTCCCTTCAAGGGGTGGGGGGCGGCGGGGGGTGGGCGGGCGCAGCCCTGAGATGGGCCGTCCGGCCGCGCCTCGGCCCGGAGCGGCGCGAGGCTGCCCGCCGCCTCCTCCTGGCAGGCGCCTGTGCCCGCGGCGGCGGCCGGGGAAGGCACAGAAAGGGCGGGGGCTGGGGATCGGGATGCGGACCCAAATCCCCTCGCGCTGTGAACAAAAATCGCGACGGGAAGTTTTTCCATTATTTTCGGCTTTCAGGGGCCCATACCGGGCCTCGGCACCGTCAACAAATCGACTCAGGCTGAAAACCTGGTCCAGGGGAAGGTGTCCAGACCTCTGGGGGTCGACGTTGCGAACAAATCGCGCCGTCGGGGGTCTGGGGAGGGCGAGGGGGGGCAACGGAGGAAGGCAAAGCCGTGGCTGGCTTGACGAGTACACGTCAGTAGTCCCACCAGCCCTGTGGGCGTGAGTGGTTCCGCGCGTTTCTTCTTGTATCTTCCCTTCTTCCCCCTTCGGGGAGGGGCTTCCCCCTCCCAGTGCCCAGTACCCCCTCCCCCTCGCGACCGATTAAAGCGTCCAAGATTGCATAAGATGGTTCCAAGAAGGCCTCAGATAGCCCAAAGTGACCCCGAGACGGCTCAAGATAACTCAAAAATAGCCTCCAACGTGATCCAAGAGGCTCCGACCGCTCCAAAACTGTTCCAAGTGGCCTGAAGCACCCACAATGGAACACCCAGACGGACAACAGTGCTGCAACACCAAAGGAACAACATGTATTTTATCCTTGCGTTTTCGCTTCCGATGGCCTCCCGAGGCCTCTAGATGGTCCAAGAGGGTTCCAAGAGAAGTGTCGTCGTCGCCGCCGCCGTCGCCGTCGTCGGATGAGGAGATGGGAAGAAAAACAGACTGACGACCAGCACGACGATCGGCTGCAGCGACGGCGTGCGCGCCTGCCTGGCGGGGGCAATTCGTCGCCGCCAGCCAGCCACTCGCCCAACCGCATGCCCTGATTGCGCACCGCCTCGGCAGGAGGGCGGGGATCCGCGAGGCGCGTTCGGTCCCAGCGAGGTGGCGGGCACGACGACGGGTCTGGATGTCGTCGTCGCCCTCCTCTTGTTCATCCTCCTCCTCATCCTCCTTTCCTCATTGCTGTCATCGCGCTCGGTCCTCATACTACTCTTCCCCCTCGTCCTCCACCCGTGGTCCTTCTCGTCGCACGCAAGACATTGCGGGCCAGGCGATTCGACAGAAACTTCCCCACCGCGCGCGGCCCTGAAGCTTGGTGCTCTCACCCGTCACGCGGATGGATGGCGGGTGGTCTTCAGACTGTGGCTAGTGCCCTAGCGCCGCGCACCCTCGACTTAAGAGTTTACAGCAGCTGCCAAGATGGAGAGCGAGCGTGCTTTCAACCGTGGCTGTCGTTTTAGCGCCGCGCACATTCATCCCAACACACTTCGGGAAATCACAAGAATGGACGGCGGGTGGTCGACACCATGTGGCTCACGCTTGAAGTATTCCCGCATGATACATGTTTGGAAGAGGAAAATGGAGCGCGACCACACAACTTCATACTGCCCAGCTTCAACCGCTGTGCGAATCGAAATGTCGCCTGGCAAATAGCGGACAAGCGGACAAGCGGCCTGCTGTCTAGGTGCCGCGGGGGCACTGCAGGGTGGCGCCGGGGCGCCGCTATTGGTGCAGCAATGCGACAACAACAAGAGTCGATACACCAAATTGTCTGGAAGAAGACGGCGACGACGACACCATAATATTAGCCGCGAAACCATGGCCACTCACTGTTGTGTGTACCCAGATTCCTAATTGTCCCACGTGTCCGTCCCTGCTATTCGTAGTAACCCTGTTATGGCGCGTCTTCGACACACCGTCCACTGTAGGATCGTATGTCGTCCCACCACCTGGTCTCTTGCCGTCCAGCGCGGCGTTGTGTATGTATGTGTGCATCATTTTGTGGCTCCGACTGCAACACTCGCTGTGCCCATTCCTTCGCACTGTCGGTACACACTTCTTGCAACAATTTCCATTTGCGCTGTTTGACTGTGGTACTCCAATCTGCGATCACCAAATTTGGAATACTATGTTCGGCTTGTTGCGTTGCACGACGGATCCAATCTGGCCAAAGCTCAAGGGCATCTCCTTCCTGGAATTGGTCAGCATCCGCGGCTGGAAGTGGTTGAGCGCTGTGAAAATCCCCCCCGCTGCCTGTGGAAATTGAAAAACCGTCGTTTTCAGGGCAGTCGCCGTCGTTGTCGCCGTCGGGATTGCGTCGGGGATCATCTTCTGATGACTCCAGCTTATTTCTCCGAGGCGTTTGATGATCGTACGAAGCATCTGTCTCTGCGTTCTGCGAATTCTGTTTTTCTGATTCCTGAGTCGCCGACCGTGCCTCGCATCCGCGCAGCATTGTCGGCGTTATTGTTCCCTGGAAAAGCCGGATTCGCTTATTTACAGAATAGCTTCTTCCCGTGAGCTCCTGTTGGAGCAGCTTGTACTTTCTCCACGCTGCAGAAATTCGGTTTTCCACCTCGGTCTCGCGGCACTCGCTGAATTGCAGCATTCGGCCGAGGTGCTTTGTGGAGCGGTATGGCGGCGACGCTTCGATCTTCATGTCGTGCACTGATACGTGGCTCGGTGGTTGTCTCGTTCGTCTGCGCCGGTGCCCATTGTGCAGAATGTTGGTCCTGTCTCCATGAAAGTGAAGGCCTGTCTTCGCCGCTTCGGTGCTGAGGTCGGAAAGCACTGTTGTGATGTCGCTGCTGGAGTGCGCGATCAGGAGGATGTCGTCGGCGAAACGCAAGTTGTTCAACCGCTCGCCACCATGGGCGCGCATTTTAAATCCAAATCTCCGCGCTGCCCACTTCCCGTTCGCAACTCGCATTACATGTTCGGACGCAGAATTGAAAAGCAGTGAGCTGAGTGGGTCGCCATGTTTTGCGCCCCTCTCGACGTCGAAATGTTTGCTGCGACGGTCGGCGCGGGTGGCTCCTGTTTGTTGGCTGCGCAGCCTCTGAGGCAAATCGATATGGAGTCGGAACTTGCTGTTCTCTGACAGATTCCCAGATGCCCGCGCGCGTCACGGCGTCGAAAGCCTTCTTGAAACCGACGGCTGCAATCCAGAGCGGGACCCTGCACTCGCAGATCTCGCGCAAGATCGTGGCTGTGAATAAATGGTCGGTTGTTCATCGCTCGGGCCCGGGGCGCGCCTGGCCCGGGCTCTGCCGGTCGTCTAACGCACCCCCCAAGCGATTGCATAAGAGCTGCGAGAATAGCTGATGCTCGGTCGATAACTCCCCGGGCGCATTGTGTCTCAGTGCCCTCACCGCAGCGCGCTTCCGACTGGAGGGAGCAGGTCTCTCTTGAGAGTTGCCCCGCCATCTTTTCAACATTTCTGCTGCGACCCCCTGCGTGTCCGGAGCCCGATGCGCTTCCGACTGGCGTGGTGCTTCTGACAGTTCACGGTCAGTGAATGGAGGGATCGTGCGTGCTTCGTTTGGGCCGTCGTGTTTCTTGTCTGCGCGTCGCCGTGCAAGTTCGCGTGGAAATCTGCGAACGCGTCCGCCACGGCCCGTCTGTCGCGCTGTTCTGGGCCCACTTGCATCCACCATGCCTGGGCTCAAGTCCTTGCCCCTGTAGCTTTTCATCCCACTGATTCGCTTTAAATCTCTGTATTGGGCGAGGATGCGATCGATGGCGGCTGCGCGAGCTGCTCGTTTGACAACCCTGAATTCCATGCGGATGCTCTTGTTGGTGTGTGCTCGCGCTGTCGTGTGGGTGGTTGGTATGTCCCGTCTTTTCCAAAGTAGTTGTGCAATAGTGCTGGTCTTTGTCGCCTGCGTGGTGCCGAGTGCGTCGGATTGCTGTTTGTTGTTGCCCCGTTAGCGCCTCGGCGATGGCGGCCTCGATGTTCTCGCGCTCGAGCTGGAGTCGGGCGTCGAGCAATAGCTTGTCTGACTCGTCTGTGAGAGACTGGCGGCATGCAGAGATGCCGCGCAGAGGCCGAGCCAACCGGTTCCGTCGTGATCGACCCTATTTCCCGTCTAATTGGTGCGTCTTGCTGGCTGCTGCGTCGGCGTCGCCCGGGCGGTCGGAATGTTAATCGCAACGCTCTGTGGTCGGAACCGAGGTCGATGTCGTTCGTTGCCTCGCCGTCGACAACTGCTCGCCATATGGGTTTGCGGGTCTATGCGAAGTCGATGTGGTGTTGCAATTTTCGGGCGATGTGTACGCGGTGATGTTGCGTGCGTGCTTGTAGAAGTACGCGTTCGGAATGCGTTGTCTTTCCGCGGGCGCCGAATTCTTCAGCCGCTGGCCTCGCGCGGCGACGTCGCGGCCCGACGGTGCGTCGGTCGTCCTAGGATTGTCGCTGGCCCGCCCGCGCCTTGCAGTCCGCTCCGATGATGATGGCGAGTTTCGTCAAGGTGGCACTTCGGCGATTCCTTGCAGAATGCTGCGCATCGATTGAATGCTCTTGTCACTGTATCCGCCGCGCGGGAAATAAGCTGAAACGGTGCGCAATCTCAACCCAGACACCACGATATCACCGTCGCATATTATGCCGTTGATTGGCTGGAAACAGCGGATAGCATTCGCAAACATTCTGCGCATCAGTGCAGCAACTCCACAGCGTTGTTCTTCGACCCCGGACTCCGTGAATATATGCCCATCTTTGGACGCCCCATGTTCGTGCATCTCTTGACGCCATGTCTCGTTGATTGTTATGCAATCCCAACATGTACCAGGCAAATATTGGAAAAGCTCATCCAGGCGATCTTCCGAAATACGTCCACGTGCGTTTTTGTTGTATAGTGCACATGTCGCCTCTGGCGTGGGGCTCGATAGGTGAAGGTGTCCTGGCGAAGGTCGCGGGGTGGAGGTGGAAACTTGCGCGTCGACAGGCGCCGGTGGGCGCTGGGGGTCGGAGTCGAGAAGCTGAAGGTCGATTAGTTGAAGCTGGAGGTCGCGCCGCCCGGAGGTCGAAGGTTGGAGGCGGGGGGCTGGAGGTCGATAGCTGGTGGTGGACGTTGGGAGTCGGGCGTTGACAGCTGGAGGTCGGCCAGGTGAGGTCGGGGGTCGATAGGCGAGGGTCGAGCGCTGGAGGTGCAAGACTAGAGGTCGACAGCTGGTGGTGGATGCTCTGGGCCCTGGAGGCTTGCGGATTGAGACTGGAGGTCGAAAGGTGGAGGCCGGCAGCAGGAGGTGGAACGTTATGAATCGATAGCTGGTGGCGGTTGCTGGGGATCGGAAGCTGGTCGTTGGGGGTCGGTTTGGTGAGGTTGGAGGTCGGCAGCTGGAGGTCGGACGCTGGAAGTGCAAGGGTGGAAGTCAAATGCTGGCGGTGGATGCTGACTGACGGCGCCCGCGCTCTGGATGTCGGTCGGTGGAGGTCGGAAGTCGATGGGTGGAAGTCGAAAGGAGGTGAGAGGTTGGAGGTCGTAGACGAGGTCGGGAGGTTGCTGCGATGTCGCAGTCTCTGCCCGCAGTGGAACATTTGCGCGCTGGGGCCGACGTGGCTGAAGTCGGTTGCAGCGCACCTTCTGCCGTAAGATGCATGGCGGGGCGTCGCTGGAGGCGGCGCGGTAGGCTCGTCGCCCTCCTCCTTCTGTTCCCACGGCGAGGCGGGGCGCGAGGCCCGGCAACGCGATGACCTTCGCGGCGCGCGTCTGTCGGGCCGCCGTAGGAATCCACGAGTTGGACGCCACAGGCGTTGGCGAAGGAGTGGGGTCGGGGCGTTGGGGCCCCCGTGGAAATTGAGGTCGCGAAACGCGTTCGATTCGAAACACAAGTTGACCTTGATGAGGCAGTCTGGCTAGATGCACCTGTGTGCCACCGCCTCTCGGGACAGCGGGCGGGGGGGATCCAGCAGGGCAAAATGGTGGCACCTTGCCGTTTTCATTGTGGGCGTCAGCGCCGCCGTTTCGAAGCAACCGCGAGGGCTCACTCCCTGAACTCTCGCAGATCATCACTGTCCGCGTCGGGGTCCAGGTT